ATTGCTCCTTTGGCTGTGCCAATTCTAATTTACCAACATATTTCTGAAACACAGATCATATTGCATCAATGTACTGTAACTTTAACTCTCATATCAATAAGGATGCCTTAGATCAATATTTTTCCAAGTTTAAATTCTTATTATCAAGAAATATATGAACTTATGATCAATGTTTATTGTTAATTATTTACCGATGGCAATGCAACAGCAATGCTCAATTTGACAGTAAGTGTCAAAGGAATTCCTTTCGGTGGTGATCGTATCTCAACAAAACCAATGATTTCGTTTGTGATAGAATCCGAAATATACCGGAAGTATTTAGGACACGGCGACTGATCAGCTGCTTCTGCGATCAATTGAAGAATATGCAGCAATAGTGCAATCTTGACAATTACACTCACCATTCTGAAACTCTGATGATATACTATAATATTTATTACTATAATTTTAATATATTATTATTTAAAATTTAATATTTCTTTTAAGATTTGATAATTTATCAATTAAATTTTGTTCATTTGATAACAATTGTTGATTGATTAACTATCGTTTGGAAATTGATACTTAAATTTATTTCTTTGTCAATTGTTAGAATTAAATTGCTCATTCATGATTTAGAGAAAAAAAATCAGATATTTTAATTTTTGATTAAAAAAGTTAAATTGAGAATCAAGATTAAGGAAATAGAAATCGATGAAGAAAATATATTTGTAGAAATGTTAGAATTAAAAATAAATCGTTAAAAGTATATTAGAAATGGTGACAAAAGATTAGACTATTTGTCATGCAAAGGAACTGGTCGCACTAATACTTATACGAAAGAATAGAATATAGAATATACATCAATAGATAATTCCAAATGCCTTTCAGTACATAGTCCCTTCAGATCTTCATTGTTTTGTTTCAGGAAAGAAATAAATCCTTTATCCAATTTATGAAATACAAAATTCGAAAAAATAAGGAAATTAATTTCTGTGATTCCGGATTTATTTTAAGTGATGAGAATCTTACAATAAATATATATTTTTTCCTAACAATACTATTTATATACTGTTATCGCATTAAAGGAAAAATTAATACATATATATTTTTCTTTGTGATAATTAAAATTATTTTAAACTTTATGCATTCGTAAAAATATATTTAAATTAATATTACTTAATGATATTAATTTGATTCATTATTTGAATTGCAAAAGAAGTTCTTCAAAAAACACTTATCAATAAATTTGAATTGCAAAAGAAAATTCTATCAAATATTAACTCAATATATTTGAATTGCTGAAAGTATTTTTCAGAAATTAAATTAAATTAAATTAAATCAAAAAAATTCTTCTGAATATAAATGAATCACTATATTATTATATAAAATTCTATTACCCTATATCCATAATATTATCTTTCTCAATTTCACAAATTATACAGAATTCATCAAAAAAAAAAAAAAAGAAAATATCTCCTTTAGATATTCAAATCCTTAAAAAGAAGAAAAAAGAAAATACCTCAGATCTTCACAAACACAATATTGCAATATTCCAAAAGAAAATTTACTCTTAAACGATTATTCGAAATTCATTTTCATCATAGAAAATGATTTTGTATCAAAATTATCAACTAATATTCAACAATATTCAATATTCAATTTCTAGTAGAGAGAGTATTAATGCAACTTGTCACGTTCGTTTTGTTACTGTCTTAGCTAGAAAATTTATCGTCTCTTTTATAGATTCTGGAAAGTGGTGGGGCATCCCCGATTAACCGTTTCATTTGTACGAAGAAATCTTGAAAGAAAATGACGACGCGGAAGAAACAATATGAACTTCTCACAAATTTGATCAATCGCATCGAATGAATCGGATCGGTCATGGAAATTATATGAAGAATATATATAAATACATTTGTGATTGTTGTTAATAATTAGCTAAATGAATTTATGTGATTTTAAGTGAATATATATATAGTGTTAATGGAACATCTTAAGAGGATCAAAGCGAAAACAAACAGAAAAGTTAATGTACAAAAATGTCAATTTATTATTTATTTATTTGTCAAGTTATGAACAATTGAAGTTTACATTAGATAAAATAAGATGGATATAGAGAAAATGGCAATGTAACGGAGATAGATGTCTCTATTTACTTTTTCAATAGATTAAAACCTTGGTAGATAAATAATACAATAGAACACCCGTTATTTCTTCCATCTTCATTTCTATTCTATTCTTTTATTATTTTTTTCCATTTTTTTCAATGATTAGATCAGATTATTGCTTAATTTCTTTTAATCAGAATTCATATTGGAAGAAAAATTAGGAAGTAAAAGAAGAAATAATAAATATTGTTATATTATATCTAATTATATTTTTAGAATTAAAAGTTAGGTTAGTTTACACAATAACAATAACAACAGTTAAGTTAGCTTTACTTGAATTTTCAAATATTCTTTTGGAAGTACTTATATAATTATATAATTATAATTAAAAATAAATAAATTTTTATTATTATTTTTTGATCTCATCTCTAAACTAACTTAATTTATGGTTTTCAATTTATTTATAAACATAATCGAATGAAAAAAATATAGCAATTAAAAATAATTTTATTATTCATTATCAATTACGATGAATCAACTTGCGTCAATTAATCATAGTATTTTGCGTCATTTCACTATTGTGTATTTCATATTTCATTTTTTTTCATCTTGACAATAGAATTATTAATAATAATATCTTATTAAACTAGATTTTTTTTAATAATTTTAACAATTTTACAATTTAGTAATTGAAAGTATTGTAGATGTTTTCTCTTGAATGTATTTTCGTTTCTTCATAAATATATGAGTAGTTTCCGAATGCTGTATTTGCATTCGAAAATTCTAGATTTGCTTTATTCTTCATCTCCAAATTGCATTCTACATATTCTTTCTTTTTTCTTTATATTTTTTTTTTTTCTGATCGAAAAAAATTGATAAACGAAATACTGTCTTTCGTTTTTATTCTTAGGAATTTATATTTTACAAAAATATTTTAAAAAATATTATTATTTAAAGAATATTATTTATTAAAATATTATTTAATGGAAAATGCAACTTGACCATTTACAATACTTTGGCAACTTTTACAGTTCTTTTTAATTTTAATATTTATATGAGTCAATACAAACAAAAAATAAAAAATAATTTTCAAAAGCATTCTTTTATTTTAGTAAAATATAATTAAGCTATCTCAAATACAATAATTATTTATACTATAATTTTTTAGCGCATTAATTTACAATTTAATTAAATATTTACAAATAACAAAATACAAATTTAGAATTTAATATGGACTTATATTAAAATAGTATTAAAAACAAAATTATTATTAGAAAGAAAATATCGATATCACATAATTAATGATTGCACAAAAAAATTGTAGTATTTCAACAATATGTATCACTACTCCAAAATTTATGAATATATTTAATAGAACATTATTTAGTATTATAAAAGATTACACATATATTATTTATGGAGAAATGATAGCTAACATATAATTTTAATTGTTAATATCTAATATTATTGACTATGTACAATATAATTAATATGGAAATTACTGAAACAATTCTTTCCATATCATATAATTTATAAACTAAACTAAATTAAACTAAATTATAAATTTCTTTACTTAAATTACTTTATTTAATATTAGCTAATAAAAAATATTAATAATTAATAATTCTGCTAATTATGTTTATGATTTAACTCTTATGTTCATAACTTATATATGAATAACAATATTTATAACAATTTATGCCAATTATATTTCATAAGAAATATATAAAAATAAATAAAATCATTATATTGTATAATAAATCATAAAAATTTCTTTTGTTATTATTGCTAAATACATCGGGTATTCCTAGGTTATATGAAAATTATAAGACTAGATCACTAAGTTAAATAAGGAAAACATTAACAATGTTTCTATGCTTTTCGTATAATTTCACTTTTCATTAGTATACTAAGTTAAATTACTAAAATGAATATAAATTTATTATTATATAAAAGAAAATATTATAACTTTTTTATTAAGAGATATAAAACTAAATTTTGAAATTTAAGAAAAATATTTTTTTTTTGTAAATATGAATTCTTATTACATCAATTATCATTATTATTTGTTGAATAATAGTTTAAGAAATTTGGCAATGAAAATTAATAGTAATAATTTAATTATTAAAATATTAAATTTATACAAGATCAGAGATTTAGATTAGAGATCTTTTTTAATAATTTAAATAATTTTTTAATTTTCAGCAAGTAATGCTTTTTTTGTGTTATAAAAAATATTGTTTATATTATATCATTCATATATAAAATTCATATATAAAATTTGAATCAATGAAATCAAGAATAAAAAATATCAAAAATTCTTTGTACTCGAAACACGTATACATACACATGTACATCAATAGGTAAGATTTCCTTCTAATATTTTAACATGCGATTCTTATGATATTGTAATCGATTTATTTTTAAATTCTTTGCACGTCAGATTTAATTCACTGGTAAAACAACAATTGCATTACATTATCTGAAAAAAATGCAACGTTTTAATACTCGTATATAATTGATATTTGTTGAAAAGAATTATTTAGTATGAATTATTAAGTTCTTTAAAAAGTATTATACATAATTTTATTTTATTATTTTATTATAATTGAAAAATTTACTTAGCAAACTCTCAAAATAATAAAGAAATAATAGCATTTATTACAATAACATTGAAATTAAGAAAATTTTTGCCTAATTTATAATATCTGATCTATAAATATATATTTATATATATAATAAAACACATTTACATACATACATAAACACAAATAAGGTTAAAATTTTTCTTTCAATAGATAATCAAAAGAATAATAATTTTTCTTTATTTCTATTCAAATATTTTCGATTTTTCAAAAAAAAAAAATAATTCTAGGATACTCACTCTATCGTATTTATCACTAATTTTTTTAAAAACATTTGAATAACGTTTGTTTCAAATGAAAGACAATTATTTCATGCGAAGTGAACTTCTTTTTAATGGATGGATCTACAGAATTAAACGCAAAATAAATATCGTCGGCAAAAAATATTTTTCATACAAATATATGAATATATATACTCACCCATGGACTCACATTATGAATATATTTTAATGGTATCTGTTTACAATGATTCAAGCGATTCTTGGAACATTTGATGAACTTCCGTTTTTTCCGAACTTTCTTATGACCCTTTTCCTCGGTTCCTGAGATTAATATTGTAAATTCTTCATATGAATATTCATATTACATTGTCATATGTTACGATTAATGAAAAATTCATTAATAAGATTTTAATTTTTATGAAAACCACTCAAATAACAGAAAAGAAAAAAGTAATGCACGATTTCGATATTTCAATGACAAATTTATGTTTGGATCTATAATTGTAAACGAATTGCTTACAATTAGTAGTCATTCGTGTATAGCCTAATTAAAAATTAAAGAAATAGATAGATAATTTCATATAAATTCAATCTTGGTAATAAATTAATAAAAAATAAATTAAAAGTATTAAGAAAAAACTATTTTATATAATAATAATTTTATTATTAATCTGTTATTGTATTTTAATACTATGTTTTTAACGTATACACGATTAATTTGAATTAAAACATAATTTTTAATACGCATGCGTAGTAACGACATCTGTCAGATTCTTAGTAAAATATACACTAATAACATTTAAATATAACCTATAACGTGTAAAAACTGTTTACTACTGTTAAGTGCACTGTATTTTCTTGATTTTTATAAATACATACTATTATTATATATAATTATTACATATAACAATATATTAAAATTTGTAACCTAACGCAGAATTTATTATAAAATAAAATGGAAGAAATGGAATTAGGAAGCGATGAAAGTAACGATAAAAATTTGCATGAAAATTCGGTGAACAGAAAGATCGAATCAGAAATGATTAAAAATGAAACTGAAGAAATTAAGGATGATGAGTTTGATGAAGAACAGGATAAAGATGATGATGATGATGATGATGATGATGAAGAGGATGCTGATGAAGCAGAAGTTAAAATTTTAGAAACTTCTCTTGCTCACAATCCATATGATTATGCGAGTCATGTAGCCCTTATTAACAAATTACAAAAAATGGGTGAATTAGAACGATTACGCGCTGCCAGAGAAGATATGAGTTCAAAGTATCCCTTGAGCCCTGATCTCTGGTTATCTTGGATGCGTGATGAAATTAAATTAGCAACTACCATAGAACAGAAAGCTGAAGTAGTAAAATTATGTGAGCGAGCAGTAAAAGATTATCTTGGTATGCTTTTTACTTTTAATGTATAATAATATGTATAATAATATCATCTGTATTTTATAAATGATTGATGAATATATTATGTATTAAATTGATTGTTGTAGCTGTAGAAGTATGGTTAGAATATTTACAATTTAGTATTGGTAATATGGGTACTGAAAAAGATGCAGCAAAAAATGTTAGACATCTCTTTGAAAGAGCATTAACAGATGTTGGATTACATACTATTAAAGGTGCAATAATATGGGAAGCATTTCGAGAATTTGAAGCTGTGTTATATGCTCTGGTAAGTACAGAATGAAGAGATAAGATAATTTTAAGTTATTAATGATTTCTTATATCAAGATTTCATATATTTAGATTGATCCTTCAAATCAAGCTGAAAGGAAAGAGCAATTAGAGCGTATTGGTAACTTATTCAAAAGACAATTAGCTTGTCCTCTTTTAGATATGGAAAAAACATATGAAGAATATGAAGCTTGGCGTCATGGAGATGGTACAGAAGCTGTTATTGATGATAAAATTATTATTGGAGGATATAATCGAGCTCTTTCAAAGCTTAATCTTCGTTTACCTTATGAAGAAAAAATTGTTTCTGCACAAACAGAAAATGAACTATTAGATTCATACAAAATATATTTATCATATGAACAACGTAATGGTGATCCTGGAAGAATTACAGTTTTGTATGAAAGAGCAATCACTGATCTTAGTTTGGAAATGTCAATTTGGCTTGACTACCTTAAGTATTTAGAAGAAAATATTAAAATTGAATCAGTTTTAGATCAAGTATATCAAAGAGCTTTAAGAAATGTTCCCTGGTGTGCAAAAATATGGCAAAAATGGATAAGATCATATGAAAAATGGAACAAATCGGTATTAGAAGTTCAAACTTTATTAGAAAATGCTTTAGCAGCTGGATTTTCTACTGCGGAAGATTATCGAAATTTATGGATAACTTATTTGGAATATTTACGACGAAAAATCGATCGCTATTCTACAGACGAAGGAAAACAATTAGAAATATTACGTAATACTTTTAATAGAGCTTGTGAACATTTGGCAAAATCATTTGGCTTAGAAGGAGATCCTAATTGTATTATATTACAATATTGGGCAAGAACTGAAGCTATACATGCTAATAACATGGAAAAAACTAGGTCATTATGGGCTGATATTTTGTCACAAGGACATTCTGGAACAGCATCTTATTGGTTGGAATATATTTCATTAGAAAGGTAATTTTCTATATTATTTTTAGTATAATAATTTATAATATAATGTTTTCTAAATGAATATTTTTTTTTTCGTTTAGATGTTATGGAGATACAAAACATTTGAGGAAATTATTCCAAAAAGCTTTGACCATGGTAAAAGATTGGCCAGAAAGTATAGCAAATTCTTGGATAGATTTTGAACGAGATGAAGGAACATTAGAACAAATGGAAATATGTGAAATACGAACAAAAGAAAAATTAGATAAAGTTGCTGAAGAAAGACAGAAAATGCAACAAATGTCCAATCATGAACTATCACCATTACAAAACAAAAAAACTCTTAAAAGAAAACAAGATGAAACCGGTAAATGGAAAAATTTAGGATCTTCTCCAACAAAAATTACAAAAGTTGAAATGCAAATAAAACCAAAAATTAGAGAAAGTCGTTTAAATCTCGAAAAAAGTACTGATTCTGAAGAACAAAAACTAAAAACTACGCCTCCGCCTGGTTTCAAAATATCAGAAAATGAACAAATGGAGATAGATAATATGCATGAAATGGATGATAAAAGTACAGTTTTTATAAGTAATTTAGACTACACAGCAAGCGAAGAAGAAGTTAGAAATGCTTTACAATCAGCAGGACCAATTACAATGTTTAAAATGATACGAGATTATAAAGGACGTAGTAAAGGATATTGTTATGTGCAACTCAGTAACATAGTACGAATTACTTTTTTTCTTTTAATTAGAAATTATGATTAATTTATATAAATAATAATGTAATTAAGAAAATATTTTTATAGGAAGCAATTGATAAAGCTTTACAGTTGGATAGAACTCCTATAAGAGGACGGCCAATGTTTGTTTCAAAATGCGACCCAAATAGAACACGAGGATCTGGATTTAAATATAGCTGTTCTCTTGAAAAAAACAAGCTTTTTGTTAAAGGTATGTAATTATTTAATGTTTAACTCTCAGTTGGTATTCTTAAATTATAAAAAATTCACAAATAAATTCGCAACATTTCAATCGTTTATTTCTTAATTGCTAAATAATGTATTTGCGTTTATTTTTTTATATTCTTTTATATAAAATATAAATATTATATTTAAGTTGAAATATTAATTGTAAATATTAATTATTTTTATGGGATATTATAATATTTGGGATAATTATAATCAATTAAAAGAGAGGCATCTTAATTATTGCAAATAATAATAAATATTAATTAAAATCATTTATCTTTAAAATCTCGTAAGTCAGCAATATGAAAATTGTAATATTTTGCAAAACTAATATATACTTATATGATTTCATTATATTTTCTAAACCAATGATATATATCAATCAAATGGATCATATTCGATACAACAAATTATATTTGTTTTCTGAAAAGTAAATGATATTTAAAATATTTCAATCAATGAAGTTGATTGGAAAATGAATGAAACATAAAAAAGAACAGATGTTGAAATACAGAATGAATATTTTAATATTCGTATTATTAAGACAGAAATTGAATAATACTTGAACATGAAAAAATTTCGAACATAAATAAGATATTTTTATATCTATAATTATTTTAAATGATCCAAGAAACTTCTTTCAAGTTAAAAACTTTGCATCGAAATATTGTGGAGTATTATCTAGATTGAGTAATTTTTTGTAATTGATAAAATTTTAAGATCATTGAATAAATGAATATTAAATACAGAAATTTATTAAAAATTCATGGATCACACATGAAGTAGAAATGAAAGCATTTTTTAATTTACTTTATTTAAATAATTTCTTCAAATCAAAAAATGGAGATACTCGTTCTTTATAAGTTACAAATACTATCGAGCATCATTTATTTCCATCTTATTGTGCCATTAAACAAATTCTTATTCTTATTTAATATATTACAATTTAATGAAATAAGAAAAGGAAAAAAAAGAATGGGGATATATATATTAATTCCATGAATTTCTTTAAAAATAAAAATAAAATTCTTTAAAAACTTTTATTTCATAACTGAATGATCATCAATAATTTTAGAAATTATATGTGATACAAATATAAAATAAAAAAAATTTTTTATAGAAAAGTTGAAAATTATAATAATCAAGAATGATATGTGAAACAATGTTATAATATAATCGTGTAACACAAGAAATTCATTAAAAAATTAGAGAATTAATAAAAATTACAGATAATCCGATAAACAAAGAGGTTTTTCGAAAAAGACGACGCTGCAAAGAATGCCCTAGCAAGCTTGACAGAAAACATTCTACATACTGTATGAAATGTAAAAAAATAGTTTGCAAACAACATTCATTGCAACAGATTTATTGTTTCATTTGTATCGAAAGTTTTAAAGAATTATATGATGTTTTTTGATGTTATTGTTATAATCATATCAGATTTTTTTATTGTTGTTCACAAACCAAAGTGATATCTATTAATAAAAATGTAGTTTATTTTTTTTTATTCGTTCTCATATTTTATCGTTCTTATTTATATGCAAGAATAATATTTTTACATTATTTTTTATAATTAATGATATGATATATTCTATTTTTTATTTATTTTATAATTTTATTTATAATTAAAAATAATATTAAAGTTTTTATTAAAAAAATTCACGCTCCTTCTTTGTATACACATATCCCATAATGGTAAATACATTAAAAATACTTACCATTACTTGTACAATATTTCGATGGATTATAAATAACTCTGGGATATCAATTATATTATTATTATACCAACTGAGAGTTAAATTAAAAATCGTAAATTAAAAGAAAAAATATTTATTTTTATGAAATGACTAGGACTTCCGGTATCAACAACAAAAGAAGAGCTCGAAGAAATTTTCAAAGTTCATGGAGCATTGAAGGAAGTCCGCATAGTTACTTACCGTAATGGCCATTCTAAAGGGTTGGCTTACATCGAATTTAAGGACGAGAATAGTGCCGGGAAGGCACTTCTGGCTACTGATGGAATGAAAATTGCCGACAAAGTAATTAGTGTAGCCATAAGCCAACCACCTGAACGCAAGAAAGTACCAGCGACTGAAGAACCGCTCTTAGTTAAATCTCTAGGTGGTACTACAGTAAGCAGAACTACATTTGGTATGCCCAAAACATTATTATCTATGGTACCTCGTACTGTCAAAACCGCTGCTACTAATGGCAGTGCAAATGTGCCTGGAAATGGTGTTGCTCCAAAAATGAATAATCAAGATTTTAGAAATATGTTACTGAATAAAAAGTAATTTACTATAACGTCGCTAATTTCTTAAATCCTTATTTTTTTCGAATGTGCTTTAATATATGTATATATGAGAAAAATTTTCAATTACATATTTCTTAAAGCACTATATAATGAACAAAATCTCTTTCAGAGATTTAAGAGTTTATTTAAAAAGAAAAGAAAAAAATGAAGGGAATAAAACTAAGAATCATAAATTCTTAGAAAATAAATATGTTTAATGTAAGAAAGTTTATATATACAAGATGAATGTGTGCAAGGTGAGCGATGTTACTCTAACTATAAAACGAGAACAATTTTCCCATCACGCATACATTACAATGTCACGAAGATATATGTATACTTTTTCGCACAGACACGCACGATAGAAAAATATTCTGAATACATATAAAAAAGAAAATGAACAAAGGAAGTTGCATTGCAAGTAGAAACAAATCAGGGTGACCATTTTTCTCTTATCTTAAGAGAGAAAAAATTCTTTTTTTATGTATACATATATTACATATACACACACCTATTATTGTTAAAAGATATTGTAAAATAATGTCGAAGCAACATTTACAGAAATTATTACAGAATTATACAATTCTTTTTACTTTTCTTTGTGCATATTTGGTCACCCTACTATCAAGTACAAATATCCTTCTACAGCTGCAATGGTGCATTGGACGTGTTGTGTTTTTTATGCCTCGGTGGAGCGACAGGTGGACTTTCAGGTGTCAATCTCCTCGCCATAAGCCATTTTTTGGCTCGGCCAGAGTGATAGTAATATGCATAAAGCAACGCCATAGCCGCCAGTACAACCAACAGGCACGTACCAGCGATAATAACACTGAATAACCAATATGATCCACTCGGTTCTGGCACCAATGTTGGCTCTGTTGGCGATTTTTCTCCTGGAACCGATTTCGGAATTGGTGGCTCTGCAGGTGAAAGAGGTTCCACGTCATCTCCGATGGTAATATCAGCGCAAGCACGAAATTCTTCTTGAGGACCGCAACCTACAGCTCCTATATTGTTAAAGAAATACAATTTATAATTTTGTGTTATGAAATTTATTGATTAATTTTTAAAAATAAGGTAAATTATTTTATTTGCAATTATAAGCATTTTTTCCTTCTTTTTTTTCTATTTTTATTTCTTTGCAAACTGAATTTGATAAATCTCATTTTTTATAATTTACTTTGTATAATAATATGTATGTAGTAATTGATTTACATATTAATCTTTAAAAATTATTTATTAATATATTATAAATATATCAATAAATGAAAATAATTCTTCAGTTATTTTTTTTTTTTTTTTTAGTTTATATTGCATTATATTGCACTTCGAGAAAAAAAATTCATAAATTACACTGGAAGCACTGTACATGTAAAATAATATTTAAAACATGTAAAAATAGAAGTATTATAATGAATAATTTTGAAATAAATGTTTGTATATGAGATCTGAAAATAATAAAACGATTGCTTAAGGATAAACTTCATCGAATACTAATGAATATGAAGCAACTATTCAATGCCACTATTAATTATGTAATATTTATTACATAAAAAATTAAAAACTTTTCATTTATGCTTCCATTGAAGCATACTAATAATATTTTAATTATGTAATAAGAATTATTTTTCTATTAAAATTTAATCCATTTTATCTATATTAATTCTTACGTCAACTATTTTTTTCAGTAATAAAATTTTTGGACGATGCATAAACAAATCGATAAAAAACATACAAAATAAAAATACAAATGAAATTAAAAATTCTGATAAAATGAAGAAAAAGATATTAAACAATGAAATTACAAAAAAGAGTCATTCAAAATTAGTAAGAATTAATTTTAAATTTTAATATTAATTTTGAAGTCCATCTTCAAAAAAAAATCAAACTCTCAGAGTACTAATCACTTCACTATTAAAAAAAGAAACATAAAACCAAACATTTAACCAGAAAAAAAAACGATCTAAAAATTTCATATCAAAAATCGAAGAGAGAAGCAAACTGAATTACCGCTCTACTTTACCCCCGATGCAATCAGCGGCTTTAATCGACTCCACCCTTTCGAACAAACGCTTCATTCTATCAACTTTTTCCAATATCCCTGAAATTCAATCTCCATGCACCCAGCTTCAACAACATCTCCGCAACAACAACCACTTGATGCCTACGATGTGAGAATTCATTTTTGCTTTTGTTGCAAAATGGTGTCTCTTCATTCGGTTGGAACAAAATTCGTCTCGGAATTAAATGGAACAGAAATTTTCATTCGCCATTGAGAAAAATCTCCAACTTCGTTTTATCCAAAGAATCGGAGGAAAGTGATATCTGCCTCGAGTGAGAAAACGGTCCTCGAATTTCATGTGCACAATGTCACCGAAAAAAGAGAGAGCACCGAGAAAAGAGGAGGGGAAGCAAAACGATGAAAACGGTTCATAATACCTGTTCCGTTTCCACAGTCGCCCCAATTATTTCCAGCCACGTATCTCCATTGAAAAACGCATTGGGCGCAAGTCAGATCGTCCGGCAATTTGTAGAAAGCCTCGAAGATCTTGTTTCCTGGGCCGGGATAATATCTGATCGATCCATTCTTCGACTGAAGTAGATGTTGGTCCAAGCAATTCTGGTCGACTTCCTTGTCCTTGTAGGTCATCGCACATGTACGGAACTCGAAGTAACCGTGGTGATTCGCTGTGAGTTCCACACGGACCGGTATCACCGAACCTGTTCGATACTTTCTCACTATCACACCATTTCCGTATTTGCCACCTGTCTCGTGCAGACGAGGCTGTAAATGAAATTGAAATTTGTATTTACTTTTGTATAATTTTTTTTTTTTAAATGAAGTTGATACTTGTAATTTTTGATCAGTATATATTCTAGAATTTAAATTGCTATTAATTCTTTTTTATTTCCATATTATTTTAACAATCATAGATTTTGTAATTTATTTGAATTTTATAAATGATATAAGAATTTATATGAACATGTAATATTTAAAAATATGTCAAAATTGTTTTATAAATAGGATATAAGAGCATAAGGTATACTTTGGTATCTAATGTCTTTTGAAAAATTGCATTTCAACACCTGTGAGGATTTTTTCTAATTAATTTAATTAGAGATAATAAGATTATAAAAAAATATGTAATATTCTTAGCTTCAAGTAAAAATTACATTCTATTTCATACAATTAATGTGAAAACAGAATTAATTACATTTATAGAATCTTTCAATAGAATAAATAAAACGTGGACAGTATTTCTCTATAGAGAATAAAAGTTCACAAGAAGATTGAAGTTTCCTACTTTACTTTCAGATCTTGAAGTTTGAATTTCAAATTGAAGATTATAAATCTTCAGAAGAAATTTTATATATGAAATATAAATAGTGCACATAATACGTTATCAAATTTAACTTTGAAAAGTTATGATCTGTTTATTTGTTATTAAAAAAATGATCGTAAAATTCAATAATTAAATAGAAGTAGAAAATTGGAGAAATAAATCGTGAAAATTGATACGATTAATTGATATAATCGAAATAGCTTTTTATCGAATGATAAATTGGTTGAAAATTCGAATGAGCTTCGAAGGATCAAGAAAAAAAATAGAATTATCTTTTATTTTAACTGTGCCACATAATTGTTTTATTTTATATTGAATTCTTTTATTTTCTTATAATATAATATTATGAAAAAGAAATTTTTAATCTTTATTTAATTTGATTTCTTTATTTCGATTGTTTAATCGTCAAATTTGTCAAATTTTTTAACTGAAAATCGAAGAATTGTAGAATACAAAATAAAAAAGTTACATTTATAAAATCTAAAAAATTTTACTGTGATATAATTTTATAAATTATCAAAAACAATTCAAACTATTGAATATTTAATATTAATTAAAATAGCATTAAACAAATACTTTGAAAACATTTCATCTTCTATTCTATTCATCGTAATTTTTACCGAATAAATCTTTTTTCTTATTTTTTCTTTTATTCTTCTATTTGACGATTTAAATTCTGTATTTTGCAAGATATATTTTTAAGAGAGGTGTTGAAATATGTAGTATTGTTGTAGCAGGGTTATGTTCGTTCAACAGACTGGAAAATCGCAAATAGTAATTTATTCTGTGTTACAAGAACATTGCCAGGAGATAATTACACAAACTTCACAATGAAATGCATTTCGTTTGATGTAGTTCTTTCTTTTTATTTAATTTTCTTTTTTTTTTTTTATCTTTTTATTTATTATTTGAAATAGTGTTTATGTATATTTTTGTTTAATAGTGTAAAATTTGTTTAATATATAATCACGAGATTGATGATGCACGATTACATTTGTGAAAAAAGAGAGAGAAAACTCACTCAGGAAAACTCTTTAAACCATTCAACTTTTCTTCTGCCACTCTCTGCCTTCTTTTTTTTTTTTGTTTGCAAAAAAAAAAGCATGTCCCAGTTACGTGACTACATATAACCTATCCCATATATATTTAGCTAAAATTCTTTATTATGAAGTTTAAGCAAAATAAAAAATAGATATCATTAAATATTACGACAAAATATTAAATAAATTTATCAAATATAATTTTATGTGTTCGTAAAACAGGATTTATATAAATAATCAAATAAAACATATAGGGATAATTTAAACTAAAATAAAATTCAAAACTAAATTCTTTCAACTTTAAAAAAAAAGAGAAGAAAAATTTAAATTACTTAAATTCTTATTTTCTAATAAATCATATCTTTTTTCATTTTTTATCGTTACTACATCGAAACAAAATTTAATATGCCAAATAAGTTTGAATGATACATGAAAATGATATACGGCGTGCAATATCGATTATAATAGATCGATCTCTTAGTAGCCATTTTTTCGAATAGTTTCTAACGTCGCTCGCGTCGTTAAACACCATTTTATAGTTATTATTAATTGAATGATTTGTTCTCTCAATTTCTCACAACAATTCCTTATAAGTATATTTGAAATGCTTCAAATTTAATACAGTTACATCCAAGATTGTGTAAGAGTTAAGAATTTCTGAAAGAATCCCGTTAAACGAATTCTAATTCGGAAATTTCAATATTAAATGGACAAAATGATAACTGCTATTTAAAAAATAGGACATTTAATCGAAATTTGTTTTTATATAAAAGTATACAATGATTTCAAAATTTGTATTCACGCATCTATAAAGGAAAATAACTGATACGAATTTTTATGAAACTTTAAAATTATTTATTGGTCTAACCTACAAATCTTGTTGCATCTTTTGGTTCGTATAATTTTTATTTATTTTTATCTATTTGAATTATACATGAATTAAATAGAATTCAAATATAGATATTGTGCTAATATCTCTTGAAAAATTAAATATTATTCAACAAAAAATATTTGTGCAATATGTAATTTATTATAAAATCTTAATAGAAAGAAATATCCTTTCCTTCTTTTTCACTAATGCAATCATTGTGTATTCACAATAAACTAAGCAATTTTATAAAAAATTCATGTCTTACCGTTGGTGCATCCCAAGCATCGCCGCATATGCCACATTTTCCCTTATTTCGTTGCCATTGCCTAGTAAATCCTCCGCAATAGCATTCGTGATCATTGTAATCGTGAGGAGTATCGAAACCATATCTCCACATTGAAGCTCTTGATGGTGGTTCTATCAATCTTCCATGGGCTGAAATTTGCCTCACGAGTATTACACTTGCAAAAAATATCAAACTAAGAATCTGGAGACGCATATTTGCTATGATGAAATTTGGCCTCTGAAATTTGATATCAATTCATTATTACTTATCACTTTTATTAAATTAGGAATTTTTCTTTTTAGATCAATTCATATGTAGATTGAGAAAAATCAATAAAATGCATTTCATATATAAAAATTAAAAATAAATAAAATCGAATAATAAAATCGAATTTGATTCCAATAAAATTTATATCAACTGCAAATCTAAAAAATACAATTTAATTAAATAAAATTTTTAATCTTTTATTAAAAATTCAATGAATAAAATTATTATATTTTATGTATATATATATATATGCATATTAATATATAATATATACATATTAATATGATTAATAATAATATATAATAATATAATAAATAATATAATCAAGAATTTCATTAAATTAATCAAATTTTTTACTCATTATCATTAGAATTAAATAATATTGTTAAAAAATTATATATATATATATATATAAACAGAATATATATAAAATTTTTTTCATAATTAAATGTGTTTTGAAACCATTTAATTCAATATAAATATAAAAAAAATCAAGATGTGCTTGAATTCATTAATCATTTATTACAAAATTTAAGAGAACTTGAAACTTGTGATAAAAGACAAATTCTTTTTTAATAAGTCATAACTTAAATTGCAAATCTTTGTCAAGTGTTTAAGAAATCATCTCTTTTCAGGTTAATTAGTTATTAACTTCAAAGAAAAAAGAAACGAGGAAACCTCATAGAATTTAAAACTTGCATAATTAACATTTATAAGTGGATGCAGTAAAAAGTAATTTTTCATTTATGCATATAAGTAAATCTTAAAAAAACTTGGAAGTACTATTGAAAAAAAAGTTAAAGAGCATTCGTACATATACAACAGGTAATTAGAAACTTTTCAACGGCCTGAATTTTTATTAGAAGAAATAATTACGAATTTAACAAATTAACTTTGAAAATAAAAATAATTGAAATTTCATTCAAAAATCTAATTCGAAAAATTCACATTCAATATGTGCATAATAACTGTAATAAAATTTATAAGAAAAAGTTTCTTTAAATTGTTGCTGTTTTTTAATTTAATCTATCTATATAATTTTATAATCTAATAACTTTGTAACTTTATAGAAAAATTAAAAAAAAATAATGATTGACAATGAAATATCAATTGAGGATGTTATTTGCTTTTGACACAATGAAAACGTGTCAAAGTTTGGCAAAACGGGTTTAAAGTGAAAATCGTAAGCCTCATTTTAAAATAGGAGGTAGGAGACGAACGTGCCGATTTCGATGCAAAAATTCGTAACAAATTGTTTATGTCAAAGTCAATCGATTAGAAAGCAACCGAAGATTGATTGATCTCGCTTTATAACAAACAACACATAAGATTCCTGTGAAAAGGATGAGGAAACCTGGATAAGATCAATGGCCGAGTACATTCCAAAATCGTTACGAATTTCTATCCCAAAAATTATACAGATATTTTACACGTATACATTTTTGTTTCTTTTTTTTAATAATGCTTATAAACAAATTTTTAATAATTAAAAATTCATAAATTTTTATTAATATAAGTTTTTTTATGCTGCTTATTTAAATTATTCAAATGGAATGTAATTTCATTATTTACTGAATATGAAATATTTATAAAGATAAAAAGTAAATAAATATTTATGAAAGTGTAAAACAAAATATGTACAGAGAAAGAGAGAGAACAAATTAAATAATAAATAATAAATATAAATAAAAGATAATAAACATAATAATAGAATGAATTTTTATTCAAATTATAAAACTTTAATTTGCATAATTATCAGAAGTAAAATAAAACTCTAATTTTGAAATAAACTAAATATTTATCCTAGTAAGTTTATATATATAATTATATATATTTACTTAAATTTAAAATAAAATAAAAAAATAACTTATTTTATTTTTCTGTTATTGTTTTCATTTATTTTGCTGCAAAAAAAAATCATGAGAGTATTCAAATTTGAAAATTATTAATTATTAAAACTCGATTATTCATTATTATTCATTATTCAAAAAATTGGATAAAAAATTGAGGTTTAAATAAGGTTCTATTAAAAAGAAAGAAATAATTGGATTCTGAAATTAAAATTCAAATATTGAAATAAAATTTATCTTATTCTACCAAGCTTCATTCGCTATTCATTCCAAATGTATAATAATAAAGGTAAAAACGCAGATTTTCTCAATGCCATTTCTTCAAAAGGAACACGAATATTTAAACACGAGTAACAAATGAAATTCTATTTTATAAAACAATCCTTTTAAAAATAATATTCAAATAACGTTTCATTTCACACTCAATCAAAGTACTAGATAAACAATTATAATTCTATGATTTCACTTTCAGCTCATCTTGTTATAATTTATATGTATGGTTGTTACTCGGCCATATTGTATAATATTCTCGTTGTATGTTTCATTAACGAGAAAACAATACATCAAAGTAATATTATAATGATAACATACAAAGAACTAGGGAACAGGACAACAATTGTATGAAAATGTAATTTTAACAAAGCTTTGAAACTGATCTGGCCGAGGACATTCCAACTTAGTAGAGAACACCATAGTTACAATCACAAAGGAGAAATTGGCAAACCGGTTGCTACAAAACTATTGTTATAAATGCGTTATCAGAAATAACATGGATATTGTGCGTAAATATTATGATTGAAACTAATTCGCTAAAGAATCACGAATATCATATTATCAAAGAAAAAATGATGCAGAAAAATAGTTTTTTTGATAATAAAAAAGATTAATTTTATCTAATTAATTAAATACATATAATTAAATGCAATTGAGTTTTTTCCCATGAGATAGATAAAATAATTACAAATAGAAAATTTATATATCTATAACTATAACTAACTGGATCAATTAATAAATTAAAATTAAAATTCAATAAAAATACTATTATTCAAAAAATCTGTAAAAAAATTCAAATTTGATTGAAGCATCATTGTTTCAAAAAAATTGGATCTAAGAAGATAAAAATAGATCGACAAATATATAATTTATAAATTTTCTTTCGAAAAAAATATTTCATCCCTATTTCGACTCAAAAACACAATGGCGGTCTCATTAACGTGTCAAATATACGGAAAGTAGGTAACCCTCTCAGAAAGAGAGAGAGGGCGCAACCGGTCTCCAGCGCATCGGATGAGAGAGCACGAATTCTCAGCCTCCATAGACACGAAGGAAAAAGCTGTCGGCTCACTTCCAGAGGAAGCGGATCTGGAATACATTAAATCTAATGAAAAGCTTCCGAACAACTACGATATCTCTCCTCTCGCTTCGAGAAAATTCGAAATCGTGGCCACGGAACCAGGTTGAACGGACGCGACCTGCGAACGAACGAAGGAATCGCACGACGAAAATTCACTTCGTGTCGAGTGAAAATGGAAATTTAGTAGTTCAAACTAGGTTCCAAGGAAAACAAGCAAGCCAAAGTCTCTATACAGCTGAGGTGAGAGGGAGAGAGGAGGGATAAGGATCGATAATGTAAAGCAGCTCGGTGGTCTAACCACCTCCGTCGGAAATTCGGAATTTCGTATCAGGATTAATTAAAAAAAGGAAAATAATAAAAAAAAGTCGAATATCGCTCGCCAGCGAAGCAAAATTTGCTTTAAAAAACTGTAATCCATCGAATATGGAAGATATTTGCTGGTAATTGGAGGATATGGTTGAAAGAAGAGGAAGGCAAGTGTAAATTTGTTAATGAACGAAGAGATAATATTTAATAATTAATAGCAGTTTTTCGATATACTATTATAATTATAATTATATTGAATTTAATTAGATATAATTATTTAAAGAATTTAATGATGTTTAGTGATCAAATTGATAGAAGTTTTATGTTATAGGTAATGATTTATTATTCTAACAATTATATTATAACTATTATTATATTGGAAATAATTAGTATTTAACTTCGCGAATAAACTAGATGTAATTGTTGCATATAATTATTTTATTAGATTAATGAATATGAAATTTTGTTTCTTCGAATTCGAATGAGCTACAATATTGAGCTTAAAATATTATTAATTGTTATCTATTATTATAAAAAAAAAATATGCAATGGAAACAATATTTGTTAGAACTGAAAGAAGAAAAATTTGTTTTTCATAAATAACGACAATATTAAATGGTTCTAATAGATTGATAAAGCAATTCGATCTTGATTCAGGTTTACAATAGTGATAATGTTTAATAAGATTGGAGTAATACGTTAACTGGTATATAGGTCAACAACGAGCTACGGCAAGAGTTAAAATTGCTTCCTTTCTTTTTTCTTTATTTTTATCCATTGTATTTCGTGTTGTGAGAATGAAAAGAAAAAAGTACAAAATTTATTAAGATTTATGATTTCAGGTTATTTAATGATTTTATACAAAGACAGATATTTTTCATGAAATATAATCTCACATATATAATTCATTTTCGCATAATTTCATGAAATAATTTTATGATATGTATAATTTTACGAATATATAAATTATGTTGAATAATTTGGTTTATATATTTAATGATTTATTTGATAATCCATGCGGAAGGAAAATAAACGCCCTACTTTTGTATCTAAAATCAACAAATGCTCGAATTATCACCAGTAAAGCATTACGATCAAATATAATATCCAAGTAAATATCATAATGTTTAAAATTGAAATGAAGGAACTAAAAAATTAATCAATTATTGACTTGAATAATCTATAAGTTATAAATTAATTTTCTAATATAATTTTCATAATATTTTCTATGCTTTGCATAAATTTTATTAGCAATTATTTATTATACAACTTATTTGTTATACTATTGAGGGAAAATTTAGATATAATATTGATCCATATGGCTCAGTCTTACCCAAACAGTTTCAATATACAACAATTATTCCAATATAACAATATAGATTCAATGTAACACTTAATACCTCATTTTCATGCACTTTATTCATACACTGTGCTACTAATACATATCCATAGCCTATCTCATTAATTCTCGACACTTCACTAGCTTTTCCTCACTAGAATAATATCATTGAAATATACTCATTTATTATTTTACTAACATTCTATTCTATTCAAACATTATATTACCAAACATTTATTTCATTTTATATTATCATTTTATATAATCATCATAATATCATTTAATATTATCAAGATTGATAATATATTTCAAAATACTATTACAATAATATTTCATTCAAGTCAACAAAATTTTTCATATAATAATATAAATAAATATACACAAATCTTTTTTAAAAATAATTCAATCAAAAAAATTTCAAATTTTTTAATCAATCAATCAAAATTCTTAAAAACGATATATCTAAAAAATTAAACAATTCTCAAAATACAATCTCAATCTACCATTTAAACAATTTCCAACATACTTCATTCTCTAATCATATACGATATTTCCAACTATCCTTTCTCCCCGCACAAAACCCTCCGACAATTACATCCAGCACAACCGGAACCCGACACCGAACCGGTATTCAGGGTCAAAAGTCTGCTCAATTCACGTACCGTGTGCGCGAAAGGAACGAAGGCCCAGCTTTCTCTGCGAGGACAGTAGACGGCACTAGCATCGGCGTACCAGGCCCCACGGTACAGGCCCGACTTCGGTCAGCCGACGACTAAACTCGACTTTGCTTTTCAGCGTGCACAGACCCTCGTGGGAGTAGGTTATTAGAACGAACCGGTTGCCCGGTTATTCATACCACAAATCGCTTCGATGCGTCACACTATGAGATTTTCAATGAAATGTTGCCCTCTGCCAATAGCGTCTTCCAATCATTTTTATCTATACAGGAAAAGCAGCTTTTCCGAAATCAATATCTCTTTGATAAAAATTCTGAAATTGCAAAAGTTTTCGAGTAGAAGAAATCGAAGTGAAGTATGTACAATCGATTACAAAAATATCTGATAATAGTTTTTGATATATTTTCTTGGTAATTTGTTTATAATTTTTTATTATGCATTATATGATATTTTTTCTTATTTTGAATAAAAATGGAATGGAATCTTATTAAATTCGCGAAACTTCAATCCAAACTTTGTAAAAGTTTGAAACTTTCGAAACTTCAAAATCTCAATATTCTTATTTTTTCTTTTTTAAGAAAATTTCTTGTAAATTTTTATTTATTTTCAGATTATTATTAAATTATATTTATAAATACAATATATATGTAATAGATTTATTAATAGAATTACATAAAATATATCAAATATTTAATCTTATTTTTGCAACTGTATTAGTATACGTGCATAGTTATAGATTAGTATGTATGTATCAAGAATTTCGTATAGTGAATTTTTGTGAGAAAATGTGAGGGTATTACTTAACACGATACGTACGGTTCACGAAACATATAAAATAGAAATCACTTTTGCTTTGAAAATGACATAAGTTTAAAAATATTAATTAAAAAAAAAAAAGAATTATCTTTGAATATGATCTTTGAATAAAACTATGGATTTTATGCTTTTATGGAGAATTTAAAAATGTAAAATTAAGAAAATATTTATTTTTTTATATTTTTATATTTATATAAAATT